ACTGTTCTTGTAAATAAAGTTTTACTGGACATGACCACACTCATTTATATACTGCTTTCACGTCACAATAGCAGAGTTGATGAGCTGCTACAGAGATCATTTGCTCACAAAGCCTAAAATATTTGCTATCAGGTGTTGTATAAGAAAATTTGCCAACCTTCACCTACAGTATTGTTCATGCCATTAAAACTTTTCTCTATCAAAATTATATAGTCACATACTTCATAGGGCCATATCACTTAAAAAGACTTGTTAAAGTCAGATGTGGTGGCACGTGCCTGTAATCCCAGCACTCAGGAGGCTGAGGCAGGAGGAGCATTGTGAGATCAAGGCTAATCTGGACTACGTAGTGAGCTGTCCCCCACCCCCCAAAAAAGTATAAAAGTTTGTTATAAAAAATAGTATCTTGGGCCCATAATTTAGCTCAGTGACACCCACCTGCCTCGCAAGCACAAGGTCCTGACTTTAATCCCTGGTACCACACACACACACACACACACACACACACACACATACACACACACACAACGCACACAAGAATGAGTATCTCTTCATTCTTTTATATGATGTTTCATTGTTTACTTGCAGTGCTGGGGATCAAACCCAGGACCTGGTACATTCTAGGCAAGCAGTCTGAGTGAGCTACATTCCCAATCCTTACTTAATGCTTATGGTTATAGCGCAGGCCAAACCAAAGACTCAAAACAGTGTCCAGCAGGTATAAAGTAGACTCTGCTTTTAAACACGCCATCATAGTTAAATAATATTCTTATATTACTCCTTCATTTTTAAGTTCTAAGCACTGTATATTAATTTCTCATTGGGCCAGGGATTTAGCTCAGTGGTTCCGCTGCCTGCCTCACGTGCACAAGGACCCGAGCTCGATCCCCGGTACCAAAAAAAAAAAAAAAAAAAATCAAATTAATTTCTCATTATTGGAAATAAGGGCTTTATCTCAATTTTCTTACTCATGAATACTCTCAATAGATCAAATTCAATATTTACATTATATGAGTAAACACTATAAACAAGTGAGTCAGATAATGCACTAATTTTTCTTTTCCTACACAAGATTTACTTTTCTTGGAGTTAATGAATTAATTTTATTTATTTTCCATGTACTTACAAGTCCACTTGATATATTCTAATGTATTAAGATACTCTATTTCATGATTTTGGAAAAAAAATTGTTCATGGATCCTCTTTACCCATATTACTGATATAGTTGCCCTCATATTCTACTACAATTAACCTAAGTCGTAGCTTTCTTTCTTGATCTTATGCCTTCCTTTTTCTTTGTTTACTCCTTTAGTAACTTCCAGAATGTTTCTGGAGGATAAATCTATGGGAATTTGCTCCTCTAAAAAAGTTTATTCCACACTCAAACTTAGATGGTATCACTGGGTACAGGATTTTAAGCTGGCTTTGTAAATAGGGAGGTGGAGGGGTTGAAGGGAGGGCAGGGGTATGGGAAATAAATAGGAACCAAGATACATCATGTATAGATACAAGTTCCCAATGATGAATGTAACTGTATTGCATACTTAAAATATACCAATAAACTTAATGGGGAAAAACAAAAGAATTCTAGGCTGGCACTCACTACTCATTCAAATGTAGAAGGAACTCACTGTCTAGCTTCCAGTGTTGCTGGTCCTCTAGTTTTCTATCCTGTTTTCCATCTGTCTTTCTGCACTACTTCATAAAAAATTGCTTCAGTATAAAGTGTAACGCTTCCATTAAATATTTCATTTCTATTATACTTCTTTTTCCTCTAAGAGCTTTTTATTTTTGAATTTTCCTTCTTTCATCTAGTATTATGTTGTTTTATGATTGCAAAATGTTCTCATCTCTGAAGACAGTAATTAGCTTAAGTTTTTAAGTAGTTTTATCTAAGTTACCTTTGCCTGGTTATGTGTGTGGCTTTCTGTTTTTACACTCTCCTCCAATGTTGGATATTTCCAGATAAATCTTGCATCTCTGGTGCCATAGGTGAGACTTGTCAACTCAATTTCACTGTAAAGAAATCTAATTGAGCACTCTTCTTGGCTGGTCAGAATCCCCAGAGAAGTATCTTCTAATACCCTGCCTGGAGCTTAAGTACTGTTTGTCTTTGTTCCTGGATCCTACTAGGGAAAAATAAATCTAGAGATCTTATTTTCAGTATGCACATGTTCATTTAATTCCTCTATTTTCAGAATGGTGCTTTTCCTCTCAAATTTGTCAGGAAAAGTCTGGACTGTTTTCTCTTTCCCAAGTATAAACGTGGAGTTTTCAATTAGATAAAGAAGAAATTGCCTGGTTGTACATTACCACAAAGGGAATTTAACAGCATCTTTTACTTTTTTTCAAATTTAACACTGATATAAGGCTATCATTTAGTACATGATTTATGTTCCAATTCCATCAATTACCTCATTTTTTACCCCATTCTGGAATCACATTACATTTTGTTGTCATGTTTATCAGTCTTTCTTAGTAGTTCATGACACTAATATAACTGGTCTTGTGTTTTATGAAATGTCTTATCACTTAGATTTTCTGCTTGTTTTCCCATGATTACATTAGGATTATGCAGTTTTAGAAGAATACTATATTATTCTCAGTTCCTTAAACAAGGAGGAACACACAATGTCAGGTTTATTCTACTTGGTAAAACTTTTGGAGATCTGGTTAAGGTGACAGCCGCTAGATTTTTTTTTTAACTAGAAAGGTTCTTTTTTTCCTCCTTTGTAACTAATAACTAATATGTAAGGCGATACTTTGTGACTGTGTAAGCAGGCTGTTCCACAAAGAATATGAATTTATGGTTTGAGTACATATCGATGATTTTTCCTGGAATCAATTGTTACTTTGGTAGTAAAAGAAATGTTGATTTTCCAGTTCTTATTATTTCACATTTACTGGTTGAAATCTAATTGCCCTTAAACAAATTTTCAACCAGGTCATGGTTAATAATATCAGCTCAACTCCATTTTCAAAGTTTCTTGGCACTATCAGTTACTGAGCATTTTGGGGTTCTGTGTTTCAAATTGGGTTATTTCAGAACTTCTTCATTGCAGACTAGGATTCATTATGCTCACTTTGGCTAAAGTTTTTATTATTTGTCTATCTTCCAAAACATGGTTTGGTTTTGCCTCAATATTCTTTGACTTTGTAGATTTCTGTCTTTTAAAATATATTGTTAAAAAATAAAATAATTGAAAATATATATTGTTATTTTCATTAGACTTGAAAAAGCAAACTCATGTGTTTTATCCACAATCTTGAATGCCCACTATTCTTTCCCTGCTTTCAAACTTTATAGAAACAATACACTGTATGAAATCACCTGAAATTTGCTCTTTTTGCTCAATATCATGTTTCTGAAATTTATCCATGTTGATGCACACAGCTTAAGTTCATTCTTTTTAAAGCAATGATGTTATATCTCAGTGTTACATATAGTGATATTATATCTTATGCCACAATTTTTAAAAATTGGTTTCCACTACATTCCTAAAAATAATATGGTAAGGTTTGGGGTGGGAACGGGGAATCTATTTTTTGAGAAGAACATAACTTCCATCTTTGCAATTTAAGTCAATAGGAAAGTAAGATTATATATTCAGAATGTCAGTCTCAAGACATTTCAATTATGTAACTTATAAAATGAGCCTAATAATACCGAGTACAGAGAACTCAATGTCAGTTACTTGGAGACAACACTGAAATGAGACTCAGGAATTCAGAATTAAGATTCCTCTCTGAATGCTAAACTGCAAGACTGACACATTATGGGTCAGAGAAAAGAAATGGAAAGAGTAAAACAAAAGAATAGCTATGGGGCTAGCAACTTGGTAGAATCTGACATAATTTATTAAATATTTTGGTTATTTGTATACATTTTTGAATTTTTTTTTTCTCTTAATATGACATATCTAGAATCTGTGACTGGAGAATTTAAAAGTGACAGCAGCAGAATGGAGTTTGGTGATGTTAATAACTAAGGTGATATTTTAAGAGAAGTAGCTATTCTGTTGAGGCAGGGATGCTAGTGTGGATAAAGAACTGAGCAGCTAAGACTCAGGAAGACACAAAGGGAGAAGGCCGTGAGCCAGGTTCTAATCTCTACCATTAGAACGGGAGAGTGGCCTGGATGTTGGCAAAAATAAAAATGATGACCAGGTACAGATAAATATACTTTGATTACAAAGCTCCTCGAATTCTCTAAGCTCACAAAATGATAGGATATTTTGGTAGTGCCTGGGGAAAGCAAGAAGTTTTACCTACCTTCTGTAGGGAGTTGGAAAGTGAGCACAACTCACTTCAAGGGAGGGAAGAAGGGAGTCATTATTGTTCAGCACAGGAGACTATGGTTGAGGTCTGTCCTAATTACTTTCTCATGGCTGTGATGAAATACATGTTAAGAAGGAGACACTCAAAAGTTAGAGCAGAAGAGGTTTATTTTGGACTCATGGCTTGTAGTGGTTTCAGACCATAGCTAGTTCCAAGGCAGAGTGGCACAGCAGAAGAAAAACAGTTGATGGCATGGCAGGCAGGAAGCAGAGCAGGATGTGGGGAGAACAAAGGATATATGCATACCACCCCAGGCCATGCCCTCTTCTCAGCTGGCTTCGCCTCCTAACATCACACCCATGATCCAGGCCAAGAAGAAATAACTGGATGCGAGCTATGGTAAATTCAAATTATCTAAAAAGTATATTTTATATTTTTTAAAGCTTTATTACCTCATTTAATAATTTATAGGAATTTTGTTATATCCCATAAAATAACCATTTTAATCACACAATTTGTATTAATATATATTAGTATATCATATTAATACTTTATTAGTAAATATTTAAAATTATTTTCTATGAACTATAATTTACACCTTGTGAAGATGCACAATATTTTTTCCTTGAGGCTTCATGTATCCTCTGGAGTGCAAATTCTCAATTGACAAGCATTGTATTATAAACACAGGCTACTTGAATGCTTTTGTTTTGTATTCTTACCTCCATGGTAGGTGGAATATTTCTTTTTCTTCTAATCCAAGCTAGAAAGAAAAGTAATACTTGAGTGTCAGTTCTCTGTGATTTATGTAAACATTGTATTCATTTATGCATAAAAATATTCTTGAGCATCTACTAACATTATTTTATATACTGGAGATGCAGAAGGAATTGAACAGGTCAAGGTCCCTCCTCTACAGTAGCACACACACTACTGAAGGGTGTTCAAAAGATCAGCATAGAAACTTATCCTATCAAGTGGATATTTGCGTCACGAAGATATGTAACAGAAGAGGAAAGATAAACAGGGGGCAGTTTCGTATTTTTAAAATCACAGCTCATAATCATCTGAATTCAGTTTAGTGTGTTTATAGCATACACGCCAAATGACAATATAGTAAACCTCAAGGTAATAAAAAATTATATTATTTTGGAAACTTGAATTAGTTATTGTTCAATTTAGCAAGGAAAGAACATAGAAACGTTTTTATTACAGAGATTTCTCTTCTCTAGCAAGCAGCTCCTCTAGTGGAAGCATCATCAGGCTAACCCTCGGGAGACAGATGCAGAGATAGAGCAGCACATTTGTGAGTGCCTGTGGGGTACCGGGCACTGTGCTCGATGCTTCAGAGTTGCCTCTGCGGAAGCTGTCAGAACCACATGGAAGACACAGTAAAGCATAGAGCTTAGGAGAATAAGTTCTAGAGTCAGATTTTCTGGGTTCAAATTCCAACTCCATCATTTACTAGCAATGTCATCTGGGACAAGTTACTTAATTTTCTAAGCATTAAATTTCCTATTTATAGAATGAAAACTATAATACAGTACACTGAACTACATACACACAAACACACACACACACACACACACACACCAGCCCAGTACAAAGTAAACATAAAAGCAGAGATCAGTAATATCTGCTTGAAATATCAGAATATAAGAAAATATATTGTAGGGAATATGATGTTTAGAAGGTAGAAAACCACAGTTTTATTTGTTTCTATTTGACTAAATCTTCATTATAAAATTTGAAGTATGCTTATTTTATAGGGAATTAAGTAACTTTCCTGAGTTAATAAAATAAGTAGTAATTGTGGGATTTGAATCCAGATCTGACCCCTTCTCTGGCTCTAAAAACCATCTGTGCTCTACTCGCTTGGACTTCAGTGAGAAACATACAGAGTACTAAACCAGGAGAGGAACAAGTAAGACCTTAATTATATGTCACAAAATAAACACTATGGACCCAACTTTACAGATTAGGAAACTAAAGCTCAGACAGATTAAGTAACTTGCCTATGCATCTAATTAGTAGCAGACTGGAAAACCAAACCCTGGTTGAAATGGCAGTAAAAACCTGAGCTTTGTCCATTACCCAGATACTTTTTCTTCAGATCAACCTTACCAGCTTGCCTTTTATCATCTAAGTACTGATACTTTCCTTGTAAAAAGTCCAGCACTCAGTAGTTGCAGGTGTGGAAGCAGAAACATTTAACTGTATGTCTGTGATCACTTCTTCTGTTCTTTTGCACTGATCACATGTATATATCTCTAATATAGTTCCAATGTTTCCCATTCTGCTTCTGAACTTCTGTCCTTGCTATTCTTTTCTGCATTCTCTTTCTCATTACCTTTCACACTTATTTGGCCAATTTCTACCAAAACTTGCATAGATTTTATATTCCTTGTTAGACTGTAAGGTTGTCATGGGCAGGATATATCCACCAGGACATTTATTTTTCTATCATTTATTTTAAAGCCTTGAAAGACTAGGTTCTTAATATAATTGCTGAAGAAATACTTCTACTATAAAAATATTCATTGTAATAGGATTCTGATCGTTATGAGAAAATTCAACATACCAAAACCAAAATTCCTCTATGCAGTCAAGGAAATAAGTGATTAATAAAATTTTTCAATTGCTTCTTTATAGTTAAAATGTTACTTTTGGATTTTTTTTCTAGGCAAGAGGCTTCATTAAAATAATTCAATATTATTATTAATGATATTAAATATGAGTCACATACTTGTAAAAGGTTTTAATAAATCTTCAATTTTAATTTAGATTAGAAAGTTAATTCAGAACAATAAACAGCTAGTACAGGGCTCAGTGAACTTTATCTTTCAAACCAGATTCAGTCCACTGCTTGTTTTTCATATATTTAAATGACTGAAAAAAGAAATTCATAGGACCATTTTCGTTGACACAACACATGAAAATTGTACAGAATTCAAAATTTCAGTGTCTTTAAATAATGTTTCAAAGAATAATGTTTAATTGAAACACAGTCACATTCATTTATATCTATGGCTGCTATGTGCTACAACAGCAGTGTTGAATAGTTGTAACAGACAAAGTGACCCGCAAAGCCTAAAATGCTTACTACCATCTGGTGCTTACAAGAAAAAGTTTGGGTTGAAGATGTGACTCAGTTCTGCACAACCTTGTACTAGGGCTACCATTTACCAACAATCATGTATCTTGATGCAAAAAAATTTCATATTTTCTAAAATAAAAATCATTATGAATGAATGAATACACGGTTATGGTTTGTGTCTAAATATTCCCCTGCAAAGTCTCATGCAGCCATGGGTGGGGCTTTTCAGAGATGGCTGGATCTGGAGTGTGTCATGCTGGGATCAAGGCTGGGTGATTACTAAATCACTCCAGTGATTGGTTTGACATAGTTCTGGATAGGATTAAGGGTATCCTTCGCTGGGTATGACAGCTATCCACCCTAAAGGTGGGTAGGATGTATAAGCTATAAAGAACAAAAAGAGGTTCACTGATTTTTGTGTACTGATTGCTGCCTAGTTGTTTTCTGCCTTCTGCCTGCCATGAACTGTTTCTTCTCTGTGATGTCCTCTGCTATGCTGCCCTATCTTGGAGGCACCCAATTATGAACTGAAACCTCTACAAACTATGAGCAAAATAAACCTTCCTTCCTTTAATTTTGGGTATTAGGTATTTTGTTTCAAGGAGAAAAGTAACTAAGATAATACACTTTTATAGTATATGAACACATACCAGTACGTATAAGATCAGAAGAAAAAGTGTAATGATATAATGCACACTATCATCCCCCCCCAAAAAAACCTCAAAATAAAAATTTGTCTTATATATGAGTCTATAATGCAGATTTTACAATTCTCTTGGAATGTCAGAAAAAGAAAAATGCCTTAATTGAACCAAATAATTAAAAAAACTCCAAGTATGTAAAAAGGCCTGATATGTTTTCTAAAGTTTATTCACTCATAAATGTAAGAATGTAATAGAACTCAAGTACTGCTTATATCAAATATGACCTCATCTATTCACTATCAAAGGAAATTATTCTCTAGGGAATGATATAGGGCTTCCTTTAGTTTCATCTTAAAGGATCATGTAAAGGATCTTTGTTTTATATAGATATATAAATGCAACTGCTGAAATAAATGTGTTTATGATTCCATAATAACCACACATTTAAGATACCTTGAAATAATAGTTGGTGCCACTACTATTTGTCAGGTAAGTATTAACTGTTAAAGCTGGAAATTTCAAAATTCATCATCCATTTATATAATCAGACCCACTTTCCCAACTTCTATAAGCAACACAGGAAATGTCCTGCTGAAGGCTGGCAATGGTTAGGTGGAAGACAGAATAGAAGAAGGCATCACTATTAAATCATTACTTTTGAACTTCAAAGCAATATGAAAGAGAACCTCTATCCAATTATAAACTATATACTGATTTTGCCATTGCTAATTATATCAAGGTGGATTCTATACCAGTCTTCATTATAATTTAGTATATTCATTTGAAGAGAATTTAGCAAGATAACTGGACAGTTTATTCCTTAAGATCCTAATATTCTTTTACCAGTACTTATTTGCATTCTCATCAGTATGCATGAGATTTTCATTGAACTTTAGTACTCCTATTGGATCATCACAATCTATAATGAGTGTAAAGTGAACATGCAAATTAAAACTCTCATTAATCACTACGAGAGACTGGAAGAAGCAGGCAGAAAAATACTTCATGAAGCATACATTCTTCAAACCTCCATAAGTACTAAAAATACCTAGTACACTTAGAAACACTGCCAACAGGCTATGGTTAAATGAGATATCCATCACCTGACTCAGTAGGTAACTATTCAGAGCCAAAAGCAATCAACAGAGATTTTAAATTAGAAATATGTGTTATTTACTTAAGGAAGAGACTATGGAAAAGGTGATCTTTGCCAGTTCTAAATTTTATTCATAAAGAATGATAAATATTTTAAAAATCTACATTTTTCAACTGGAAAAATTCTTCAAAGGATATATTATGAAATGAGCCATTTTCTGATTATTGGGGTTTTTTTTTGGGGGGGGTGTCTCAGGGCTTGTATCCACGGCCTCTCCACTAAGCTGCTTTCCTATCCCTTTTTAATATTTTAAGTCTGGATTTCACTAAGTTTCCCAGGCTGAGCTCAAACTGCCATTTTTCTGCCTCAGTCTCCCAGAGTGCTGGATTACAGGCATGTACCACCATGCCCAGCTGGTTACTAACCTTTAAGTATATATTAAGGATTTTATTAGTTTAAGTTGGCATATAAAGTTACAAATTTTATGATGCTCATACTTGTTAGTGTTCCTTCTTCTTAATCAAATTTATTGAGAATTTATATTAGAAAACAGTGAAGGTAAGTATACAATTTCACAAAATCTGACTAATATGTACTGTCTATGACTATCATTACAATCAGTACAGAGCACATTTCCTTTCCCACCCCCTCCCCAAAGTTCCCTGGTGTCTGTTTACATGCAAATAGTCACATCACCCTATCCAAGCTCCCAGGCAACAAAGGATATATTCTGTCATTGTAGCTCAGTTTTGTTTTCTCTATTTCATAACAGAAACTTTGGCAATATGTATCTTTTTAACATCTGCCTTATTTCACTCAGCAGAATGTCCTTGAGGTTCATCCATGTTACCGTGTGTAGAAGAATCTCTTAATGTAGTCCCCCCACCTTCTGCTTACTCATATGCATGCCTGTACGATCTCTTCCT